AAGTAAGCCCATATTGTTGCTACAGTACAGCAATCATTCGTTCCTATTGTGCACCTGTGATATGCAGATACACAAACATGTACTGTTGTACACACACACTGACTCAGCCATTGGTGTTTAAGCCCAGTTTGTCACACATACAAATATCCTACCAAAACTTGACTGATCGCTGAATGCCCATCTTAACCTGTTCGGGCTGCAGTTCGTATGCGATACGTAAGCCTACCGCTGATACTCCCACACCCACTGCGGCGAACTTTGCGTACCGTAATGCTCGGCTTCCAAGGCGGCACGACATGATGTAGTAGTATCTTATGCTTAGCTATATATCGAGATAGGAGGTGAGTGATTTGGAGGTCTTATCTATATGCCCTTTCTGGTTGATAGTTGTATATGCATGTGAGTGCATATCAAAAAGGATTTGATATTTTATGTGCGTGTATTCACAGGACAATGTCGCACATTCACAATTACAGAACTCACGTGACTCGACGAATATGTATTTATTTGTATTGTGGTCTTAATTATTACATCATAGTTGTATGCTAAATTCATCCCACATAAATGGAAAATTGGAAATGGCCCAACCCAATATATTTGGCGCCTACCATATTTGGGATGTTGGCTTTATTTACCTGGTCCAAAACATAACCTCCAGCCCTCCTGTGTAAAACATTCATAACCTTCTGAAATCAAACAAGAAGGCTATGAAATAATTTATTTATTTTTGAATATATAAAAATATAAAAGAAATAGCCCGAAAATACAGCTTGGTCTTTTGGAGGCTACATCAAGAGACCAAAGAAATATTTATATACAAATTGTTCAATTTAGAAGGCTATGAAATGCATTCGCAGTTTAAACCCTAAACCCTAAAAACACACCCAGTGATTCTGACAGTCAAGTCTTTTTTTAAAACAAAATTAAAAACTCTTTGACACACACAACAACTAAATCACACAACAAGTCACATACGCTCACAACACAAAAGACTAAAAGTTGAGAAGATAGGAGAGAGAAGAGAGAGACCGTGAGACCGTGAGACCGTGACCCATAACCCCTTTGTTCTATTTAGAAGGCTTTGCGTGACCGTGGTGCGTGGGCGTGACCGGTGGCCTGTGAAATTTGTATCTATTTCTATAGACAATTTTTAGAACAGAGAATGAGAGAGACTGAAGAATGAAGGGTTTGGCACTTGGCCAACATGATTCACAAGACGTGTCACGTATATTTATATCACTCTATAAATAAAAGAGTGTCTTTTGCTCTTAAGTCCCTTCTCATTGGAGAATGTGTGCTGTTGATACAAAGAGGGCGGGTCGTTTTTGCGTATATATAATATATAGACCATAGAAATTTATCCGAAGGCTTTGAAAGGCCCTTTGTTTGGGAGTAATTCATCGCCCATCACAATAACGTCGGTGAATACGATATTGTATTTCATGATGAATACATTTAGAACGTCCTGCATTGGACTCTGTAGACGCTCAAATTTGAAAATTGAAATTTCGCAACGATTTATTTACCCAATTTTCCCCAGTTGTTTTTGCATTTCAATCTTTTAGTCCCTTCCGTCAGAACAGATATGTATTTTCATAGCCAACCGATAAATCATTTTTTTAATATTTTTATTTTAACACATTCGCATAAAACAAACCGTTTTACTTTTTAGCACACAGCAAATCAGCACACACACAACAGGAGAGCCCGAGTCTCTGAGAGGATGATGTCTGCTGAGACTCTGTTGACTGTTGTCTGAGCTCTGGTCTGAAACTCTGAGGCCTGAGCCTCTCACAGGCGCAGGGAGGAGGACAGGAAGCGTTTACATAATTACCTGATTTTAAAAAACGTTTTTTTTTAAATATCGAGATGTTATTTATTACATACTCTCGGAATTTATATTTAGAAATATCTGATGTTTGATGTATTTGTACTTTAATGTTTTTTTTTAAATATAAAAAAATAATAAACGATAGATTTGATATAATTTTTGTATCTTCTTAAAATAATGATAAAACTTTTTTTTTATCAACTTTTACGTTATTTTTCTAAAAAGTTCATATTTGAAGCCAACACGTTTGGCCTTGTGGAGTTGTGGGTTATCTCAATCTTCTTTTCTATAAAAATATTGCGAGTAATAATACTAAAAACAACAATAAAAATAAATACTGTATTTATTTATGTATCTGAAATTCAAAAATATTTGTTGTATTTATTTCCAATTCATAGCCCTCTCTTTAATTTGACGAGCGTAGGTCGTAGGGGTGCTTCAAAAGTTCAAATGGGCATAAATGCTATACAAAATACTATACACAGATTATAGTTTACAGAGCTTGAACTATCTCGACTGTATTTACCTCTTTAGCTTTGCCATAGAATGGTGTGCACTATGCTGTTCTTGTGATTCATGGCAATCACTCGCAAATAAGACGCCTTGTATAGGACACACACACTGTTTCGACTGCGCATCAAACAAAAACAATGAATGGGACTACCGAAGACGAGGAAACATCCCCGTCCTCAACGCCCACGTTGAATTCATCTACATTGCAAAAGCATGAATATGCGGAGGTACCCACGATTAAGGTAGCCATGATAATTCAAACAGAAGGGCCGCTGAGCCCAGATGCAGGAGCTAATATGGATGTTACTACGCAAGACGGTGGACCTCAGAGTTGTGGTTCTGTTGCCAGTATAGAGCTTGCTGCACAGCCAGGTGTCACGGGTATAGAGAACACTACGGGCGAAGAGGCTGTATCTGATGATTGTAGAGACAATGGTAGTCTGCCGAGCAATACACCCCTGCCTGCGAATAAGATGCTCAAACCTCAGCTTAAGCCAGTATGTGCAAGATAGTTAAGTGTATAAATCTGTGAGAGATCAAGATGGAAATGATTTGTACACGGTTTTACGTACTTAAGTTCGATCCAATAGTTTTTAAGCACACGCTAGCCATATTTATATTATATATATTTCATATATATATATCTATA